ACTGGTCTATTCTGTTGTTCATTTCTTAGCTGTAGATATCGTCTAAACTCCTGATTGTAATTAATATTTTTAGCACTAGGTGTCTCTTTTTTACGTTTGGTTTTTTCTAAACCACGACGAATAAAATCCAAATTTGGTTCACCCGTGTCATGAGTTGTAAGTCCTTTGTAAATTTCCTCTGGGACCAGAATAAATTTATTTGCCATTATTAAAATTGAGTTTAGTTGAAATTTGGTTCTTTTATAGACGCGCTCCCTATCATCCTTGCGACCTCAACAAGTATAGGTGTAAGGAGGGCAGCAAACACTCCGACACCCCCGCCTTTTTGATTTATAACATGTCTTGCTCCTCTTTCACTTCTTACTCTGCTCATACAACGAACAAATTCTGAATAGGGTAATAGACGTCTCTTTTGTTGGGTAGTTAGATGGAACCTGGACCTTACAATATTAAGGCAAATTTCTGCTATTGCTAAGAGTTGATTTGTATTTGAATGCCTCAATAGTCTTTTACGTTTTCTTTCAGATTTTGTCTTGGATAATAATTTTAAAAAATCAATGTTTTTATGAACTAGTTGGCTAACCATTTTTTGGAATAAAGATAAGTTTCTCTTCATCGTCCTTAAATATGTTTGTTCTGAGACGGAGAGTTGGATCTGATGAAGCGTGCATGTCTATGACCAAATATCCATATGGATGTTTGGTTGCCTGACGGTAGGCATCGAGGAAATAGTCCAACTGTCTTGGAAACAATTGTACACCTATATTTCTTACAGAAAGCATAGAGTTGGGGGACCTCATTATAATAATGTATTGAGAGTTTTGACGTGCAACTTTAATTTTCGGATCGAATAAATTTTGTGTAACAAAAATTATTGAAAAATTTTGGTGATGGGATTTTTTGGTAAATAATTCAGATAAATATTTTTCATTGATAGAGAGGAGTAAATCATCTAGAATCAATAGCAAAGGCTTTGGATATTTTTTAATCACCTCTTCTGGAGGGACACCTGCAAATACACCAACTCCTGATTTTTGTAAAAGGGGTACAATATTGTTCATCTCACCAAAACAATAGAGTATTGATTTTGGACTGGGGTCGATAAGCTCACTATAGCCCGCAATGAATTTTAAAAGAAATGTACTTTTACCGCTGGAACTTGGGCCAGCTATAATCATTCCAAAAGGAAGTTTAAATTTTAATTCTTTATTAGAAAATAAATCCATAATGAATACAATAAGTACATAGAAAAATCATTTAAATATGTTTTCAATCCGTTGGTATTCCTGTAACTGAAGCATTTAAGCTTTGGAAGAATTCATCTAAATCCTCTTTTGATGGAAGTGAATCTGTGGGTTGAGATGTCTCCTCTGGTATTGTGTTGGGAATTTGGTTTGGTTGTGGTGTAGCAGGCTCGGTCTTAGGACAGGGAACCTCAGGTTGTGTAGTAGCATTGTAGGGTACATTAAAGACTCGTCCTTTGTTTTTTACTTTGAAAAAACAATGTCCAGGTAAATCGAAGAATGTATCAAATGGAGCAAAACGACTTCCTTCAAATCGCGTGCAGTAGATCACAACTCCTTCTTTGACTATTATAAAATCTAGTTCGACTTCTGTGCTTTTACATGAACGACACTTCCCAACCTGGTCATATGGAATGAAACGGGGAGTATTAAAACGGGGACTGGAAATTGTGATCCCACTAGAGGTGACGTTAAATTCAACCTCTGGAAAAATTTTTGGAAAATTTTTGGAGTTCATATTAAATTAATTACATTTAGGAATTATTATCTCCTTTTATACTACTCCAGGACTATTAGACGGGAAGTAAAACAAAGGGTTTTCAATTTTTTAAAATTCCTTTTTTTCTCTAACTTAGTACTATTTCCATTTTAATTTCCATTAATTCCTATTTTTTCCATTCCTATTTTTTAAGGTCAATATTTTCCATTAAAAGAGAACATTTTTTCTAGGTCAGAGATTACCTAGAAATTTTTTAACAAAAGAAAATTTTTAAGAAATACAAAAGAAAAAAGGAAAAGTTTTTTAAGCTGACCCATAAAATCTTTAAAAAACTACACGCACGCTGCGAGAAAAATATAACAAAAGAAGAATTAAAAGAAAGGAGAGGAAATAAATATTTTTTAAAAGTTTGGGGAAAAGGAAAGGGAAATTTAAATTTAAAAAATTTTTGGGGGAAAGGGACCTTTCGGTTTGATAGGTTCGGTACCGGATATTCCTAATTAGTGGACTATTAACTATAAATTAATTAAAGGGTAAGTACAAGAAATAAGGGTAATTACACGAAACATTCTTATATCAGTTATCATTGATAAGGCCTTTGGATGGTACCGGATGTCCCTAAACATTTAGGTTATGCTTAATTAGAGAGGTAATTACAGGGAAATAATTAAGAAGTAATCACATATTCTTACATCAGTTATCTTTGATAAGACCCTTTGGGGTGGTATGAGTGTCCCTAGACCTTTAGGTTGGTTCTAATTAGCATGTTAATTACATGGAATTAATTAACAAGTAATTACACGGACCCCTCTGCCCCTGACGACGGGGACGGGGGGTTAACTACTATTGACAGTTTTAGGGAACATTCAGACTAAAAAATCATTGGTTTAGCACTAAAAACTAAGGTTGCCTGAACCGAAGAATCGAGGATTTTTTGGTTCGATTCCTTGACTAACAATAAGATAGACAGCCTTAATTAATTTGAAAATGAAGTTGCCAAAAATTACAATAGTGAGTAAAAATAACCTTTAAAAAAGGTTGCGGATATCCCAAAAATTTCCTAGAATCGACAACCTCACTTAAACCCAAAAATTGACAGTACTTAATGCTTTGATAGGTTAAAATTGACATAAATAAAATAAATAATTAAAAAGTAAAGCCAGAAAGAGAAAAGCTTTAATTAATTTAAAAATAAAGAATTACAATAGTGAATAATAAAAATAGACTTCTAACATTAAATAAAAAATTGTTTTCCTTAAAAAACTTTTCCAATTTATTTTTTTCCTATTTTAATCTCCATTTATTTTTCTCATTTTTAAAATTAAATTTATTTATTTTTTTTTCTTTTTACTAAAATTAAAAAAATATTTTATTTATTTATTAGAACAGAAAAAAACTCTTTTTTTAGTCAACCTTCCCCCCCAAGGGAGTATTTTTGTACTTTTTGCTTAAGTAAAAATATATAGGGGCATTTTGAAATGTTTTTTGCCTAATTAAATTGAATATTTAAATATATATACTAAAAATATTTTTTTAGTTTTATTTTTTATGTTTTTGTCCAATTTAGAAGATTAAATGTAATAAAAGAAGAAACGTCATAAAAATTTAAAAAAATTTTTTTTAATTTACATAAAAATCTAAATTGGAAAATTAAAAATCTAAATCATATTTTATAAAGAGCTGTACATATTGTAAGGATGATTCACCTACCAGCATTTATAAAACGCTTAATTTGCTAGGCGGGAGTTAAACGATCTAAAAGGATAAAAGAGAAAGCATTAGTTGATGCCCCGGTAGCTCAATGCTCCTGTATGTGGCGAACAAAAGCGCCTAGCAATAACTACGAGGAGGTCGTGCAGGTTGGAATCCTGCCCGGACTTTTGCTAAACTCTTTTTGTATCTTAAAATAGGGATGTCGATTTAGTTCCCTTACCCAATGGACAAACAGATTTAAAAAATTTATTGAAAGTTAGTATTGGAAAAATTTAAAAATAATATTTTAAAATTAATTTATTTAAAAATAAAATTCCCATTCTCTTTTTTTTATTTAAAATTTTTTTCTCTCTCAATAGTTTTAAAAATTTTTTGGCTAAAATATTTTAATATCCACTATATTTTTTATTAAATTAAATTCATTATTTATTTATTATTTTTTAAAAAAGGGATGGATGGTTTTTGATTAAAAAACTAAAAAAGAATTTCAAACATTCTCTCTCTCTTAACATTAAAATAAAATTAACATAAAAATAAATAAAAAAAAAGATTTATTTAAATAAATAAAAGCTAAATTTAGCTGAATTTTTAATTTAATTATTTATTTATATTCTTTGTTTTGTTAAAAATAATAAATTATAATGTAAATTAAATAAAAAAGAATATATGACTTTAATTAATCTATTTGAAAATAATTTTGGAGAAAAATAAATTAAAATTTAGTAAATAAATAAAAAAAGAAAATTAAAAAAAGTAAAATTTGTAAGTTCAAAATAAGGAAGGCTGATATTATTATAATTTAAAATGTTAATTAAAAATTAATATAGAAATCGTTAATTCTATTTTTAGTTAAAAATATTTTATTATTTTTAAATGTTCCTCACTAAGGATCTCACTCACTTGGATACCTATGTGCATCCGAAAAAAGTCTGAATATTCGGAAAGTTTCTGTTCGGATCGGGGATCCTGCCGACAAAAAAATAAATTTACCAATTTCGGGAATCGGGTCGGCAGGATCCCTGGTTCGGATATTCGAAGATTTGCTAGGATTCGCCCACCCTTATACCTTCCCTACGTAAACAATCAATTTAAAAACCTTTTTTTAGATTTTTAAAATAACTTTTAAAAATCTATATTTATTTTTATTTTTACATCATCAAACAAATATATTCTTTAAATAATTCCTTTTCCCAATTTCCTTTTTGATTTTATTTAAATAAATTCAATAAAAATATTTTTATTTTTTAAATGTCTATACATTTATTGCGTAAAATGTTTCTTCTTCTTTTTATTAAATATATAAAAATCAGTTCCTTCAAAAAAAAGATTTCCGTACAAAATAAATTTGGAAATTTCCAAAAATGGAAGGGTTTATTTAAAGAAAATATATTTATTTTAAGATTAAATTGACAATTTGATTATTATAGAGATGACATAAAATAATAATCAAAAGAATAGAAAATGAGAGAGAGGAGATAAGAAAAATATTAGTGACCCTACACAATCTTTAATTATTTTAATATAAAATTTAGAATCTTCCCTACCTTGTTCAAAAGTAGTTCCAGCAATTAAAAGCAACAAAAGAGAAACTCGACGTAATTCCAATTGGCAAGTAGCTGCTAATTTATTACTTAATTGTTTGACAACATTTTGTTGTCCTTTTGAAGTTTGTGAAGGAATTGAAGAAGAGAAGGAAGAAAGAGAAGAAGATGAGGAGGAAGAAGAGGAAGAGTTTCTTTTCTTCATTTTTTTAAATTTAAATATTAGTTTCCTAAAAAAATAATTTTATTTAAAACAATTTGTCTCTAACAAAATAATTTATAAAGGTCAAGGGGTTTTAAATGAATTTATCACCTCTAAAAAATTTAAAAATTTCAATAGAAAATTAAAGTAGAAAATTTGAAAAATTCTTTCGATTTTTACTAAAATAATTAAAATAAATTTCGAAAGATTACAAAAAATTAATTAAAATAATTTTTTCGTTAAAACGGATCATCACTCCTCCTTTGGATTTAATCAAAAAACATAAAAATAAATTTGATCGGCGTTAACTTATGTATAGACAACAGATCCAAATTTTTTTCGAGATTATTCTAAATATTTTATTTATTCAAAAACAATTTGTTTGTTTAATCTTTGAAATCCATAATTCAAAGAGAAAGGGAGGAAATTACTAAATTCCTTTTCATTATTTAAAAGGTGTTAAAGGTGTTTTTACTTTCTATTCTTCTCAAACAAAAACAAAAGAATTTTTAAAAACTATTCTTCTAAATAATAAATATTTTTTAAAAAAACTTTTTATTTAAATATTTTTAAAAAAGAAAAATGGAAGGAAATAAAGAATGGAAAAAAGTTGAGGGAAAGAGGAAGGGGAGGGGAAGGGGAGGAGAAAAAATAAAAAAAATATAAAGTCATTTTATTTGGTCAAGTAATGCCTAAAGGGGGGAAACAACGTTCACTAAATGAAAAAAAAAGTGAAACAAAAAATAAAAGAGGGGAGGAACACACAAAAAGAAAATTGGCTGGATATTGTCGAGGGAATGTTTTTGGAGAAGATTAAAAAGATTAAATGAAATAAATGAAGTAAAGGAGGGAAGGGAAGGGAGGAGGGAAGGAGGGAAGGAGGGAAGGAGGGAAGGGAGGAATTAAGTGGAAGAATGAATAAAAAGAAGAAAAATGAATGATGATAAAGAGGATGAGAATGAAGATAACATATTATTCGGGTCTACAGAAGATGCTGGATCGTTCCCAGCCGCGGATCGTTCCCAGCCTAAAAGAAAGAATATATCCCAGCTGCTTTACTGAAGAATTTATCTTCCCTTCATATAAGAAGATATAGAAAAGAATAGGAAGAAAAAAAGTAGAAATGAAGGGAAGATAAATTTTGAAAATAAAATAAAAATATTTAAAATAAAATTACTCAAGAATTTTAATTAATTCAATATTCAACGTCTAAAGTAAAAAAGAAAACTAATTAAATTTTATGTAGAAGCGTCGACTCTTTAAAATAATTTTATTTTTCAGGAAAGACCAAAAGTTAAAATTTAATTAAAAATTATTATTTTTTGGTCTTTTAAATTTTCTTTTAAATTTTTTTGAAGCTTTTTTGGAGAAGGAGTTTGAATGAAATTTAGTTACCTAATTATTTTTGAATTTTAAATATTTAGTTGAGTATTTGGAGAGGGCTTTTAAAATTGTTTGATTCTTTTGAATATTTTAAAAGTATTTTGGGTTGTATTGATAAATAAGAGATAAAATGGGCATTTTATTTGTCGAAAAATAAATTCTCTGGAGAGTAATAATCTTTGCCATAAAATATTTTAAAGAAAAATTTCAAGCTTTTTTTGCCCTTTTTTATAAAATGAAAAAAAGATTTATTATGTTCCAAGCTTGTTTTTGTCTGTTCTTTTAAACAATCCTTTTGGGAATTTAAATAGTAAATGACGTTGATTTTTTGAAAAATCAGAGGAAAATAAATTTAAAGAAATTAAAAAATATTTTTAGATATTTAAAAATTAAATTAAAATTTGTTTTTAAAGAAAATAATAATTTAAATAAATAATATATTTAATTAATTAAATTTATAAATATTTTCTATCTATAGAATTTTGAAATGTTCAAAAATATAAATAAATAACATTTAAAAACAACAATAAAATGCCAGCATATTTTGTATTTTTCTATTTAATTATTTACGTTTTTAATTTTTTGCAAAAATTTATTTTTATAAATATCCAAATATTTTGCTCAAAAATAAACAAATATAACACAAAAATAACAAATAAGTAGATAAATAAAAAATAGTTAATTAAATACTACCTAATAATTTATATCTATTTTTGTTTAACAATTTTGTACATAAATTTATAAGCCGGAAATTGGCTAAAAAATAAGCTATAAATTTTAAACAAAATAAAATTGTTAAGTAATAAATTTAAAAATAAATTTATTTTTTTGTTAATTTTAAGAATTTTAAAGTTTATGTACTAAAAATTATTTAAAATAAATAAAATTTATAAATTTACGTAAAAGAAATTATGTTAAAGGAAAATATTTAGTATTTATTTTTGATAATGAAAGATTTTTTTAGAATTTAAAAGAGAAAAGTTTAAAAAAATATATGGAGTTCTTGTGTTACCTCCCCAAAATTTTTTTGGTTTCTCCTTTCAATTTTCATTTCTTCAAAAAGTACCCTGAATTAAAGTAACATAATGTTAAAAGATACCCAGCTTTGCTTTTTGGAATAAACCAGGGCTTCGATTTCTGCGGATTTTTCCTCATATTGTGGTTTTTTGATAGGGCGATGAGGATTATTTCTAAAAATGCGGATTTGCGAATTTTTGTGGTCTTTAGAAGATTATGAGGATTTTTTGTATTTTCTTGTAATTTTTAGGATAAAATGTCATTTTTTGTCTTCATGTCCTTAAAAACTTCCCAAAATTTTTGCCTGCGGCGCTGAAAATGAAAGAAATCTGCTTTCTTGGTCTTCCAAAATTCCCAAAATTTTCGCCTGCGGCGCAAAAAAAGAACATTTTTCGAGTAAACAATTCACTACAACTAGGGACGGTGAAAGCATTGGCTCAAGTCAACTGTAATTTTTCATTTAATTGTTCGGATTTTAATAAGATAGTAGTTATTAGTAGTGAAAAATTGCTCAATTCAATTGTTGGAGTCAAAAAATATAACACATAAAATGATTTTAATTCAATTTTTGTGTTTGATAATTTTTTGCGGATTTTTCATATCAAATGCGGATTTTTTCGATCAAAATTGCGGATTTTTAAAAGTTCGAGATCGAAGCCCTGGAATAAATAGTCTGGTATTGTACCATAACTCAGGATGAATGTAGCTTCTGTTCCCTTAAAATATCCTGATAATATGCACATTATTGAACGTATTGTAGCATTGGGTCCAATTACAAAAGTTGGTAACTCACGACAACTTTTTTGCAGTTCAAAAATTCTTTTAAACGGAATATTTTAAAAATTTTTAAGATATTTTTAATCTCTTAATTATTTTTTAAAAAACAAATAATAGAAAGACTAGAATTACATAAAAAATAAAGGTGTAAAAAAATTCCATACGAATCAGAAAATTAATTTTTTTTCAAAAATTTCCATCATTAGTGAAAACAATTAAACATTTTAATTAATATTTTACATAGGTACATCCCCAAATAAATTCTCTAAATTAATTTATATTTAATTATTAAATCCTTTAATTAATTAATTATTTTATTTTAAATACTCAAAACTATATTAGCCTTTATAAAATCAGAAAATTTAATTCTTATTGTTAATTAGACCCTCATTTTAAAATATTATACACCTTTTAAGAGATTTTTTCATTTATATTTATTTTCTCCATTTGCGTCATTATTGAAGAAGAATTAATTTATTTATTTTGTCAGAATAATTAATTCGTCTCTGATTTTGTTTTAAAAGGAATATTTACACGAAAACTTCGAGAATCTACTTAGACATTAAATGGAGAGTGAGACAGACACATTAAATAATTTACTAAAATATTTTTTTTTGTTTTTTTCGACTTTTTAATAAAAAATGTAAATATTTTTTTTGTTTATCACCTTGTAATTAATTAAAGATTTTAATTAAACAATAAAATTATTTTAAATTAACACAGGCACAACAAAAAATATTTAAAAATAAATTACCTGAAATTAAGTAATTCACAATTAGGTAATAGCTACAAAAGAGGATCCTTCCATCCCGAAATCTAAAATTTATTTTTTATGTACAGAAACAGGATACCTGATATATCCCCAAATACTCCTCGATTTTACCTACAAAATTTGGGGAGAGTGAGCTTTTAAACGATGCCCTTAATTTAAAATATTCTTTATTTTTTATCCTTAAAAAGATATTTAAGAACGAAATTAATATAAAAATATTCAAAATTACAAAAAAAACTGTTAGGTAAATATAAGAAAAAATAACTAAACAAAATACAAAACTTCCATTAAATATAAACACAAAAAACACAAAAATTTAAGAATTAAGTGTTAATTAATTAGTTATCTAATTTATATTTAATTAATAAACTAGAAGTATTTTTAAATTTTCTTAAAAAAACATTTTTGTTTAATTTTTTAGCAAAATTTGTTTTGTTTTTTAATTTCAAAATACACCCAAATAATTACAGACATTTAAAAATATTTTTGTGTTTTTAAAGAATAATAACTTTTTAAAAAAACAAAATAATTATTTATTCAAATTATTATTGTTTTGTTTTTATTTATTTTGGCAGAAAATTCTTTTTTGTTTTTTCTTTAAATTATTCAAATAATTTAAATAATTTTATTTTTTTGTACTTAAACAAAAAATACACAAAAAACAAAGAAAAATAAAACAAAACAGAAAAATTATTTTTATTCACTATATAAAACTTTTAGAGAATAACCAACCATTTACTTATTATTAAATATTTTTTTATTCAAAAATTTAATTTTTTAGATAAAATAAGTATATTTATAGAGATTAAAGGGTTAAGATATTAGACAGGTATTGACTTAAATTAGTTATTTAATAAATAAGAATCCAGAAAAAGCCATCCATCTTTTTGTTTTTAATTTGTTCTTAGATTCAAAAAAAATCTAAAATAAATATTAAAAATTAAAAATTCTGACAGTTTATTACAAGACGGAGTAGCTTAAAATAAAGAGGGACTTATTGACAGACAAAATGTGATACCCTCAAATAGATCAAGACTACTTGGTCAGAATTTTGTCTTTCTTTGACGTCTAAACTTTTAT